ACCAGCTTTAGGCGCGCACTGATTTCAAATAACTGTCACTTGTGTTAAATAGAGAATTGTGGGTAGGAAAGAAACAAAATAGGTAGGGAGGGAGGCGGGGCGGGGGAGGGTAAGATAGTAATTTTGTCTACATCCACTTCTACCCAAAATCCCTAACCACAAAACAAGCCAAAAGCTATAAGCAAACAACACAGTAAACAAGCTGTTAGACAGAGGCAACTGAGAAAAAATGCAAAATGTTTGCTAACCTGGTTTTTATAACTCCAGGTAGAAATTTATTAGAAAAATATATAAGATAGATAAAAAACAAGACAAATAAATGAAAAAATAAGAATTTGAAATATTAAAAATACAAATATCAGTTGTCACATCTCTGGAGTGGGCAGTTATGTGGTTCGCTTGAATGTCACTTCCAAGTTTTGGTTGGGAACTACGCTGATATATTATTCGGCCGGGAGAGAAAACAAACAATCTCTCACTGTCGAGGCGGAGCTTCCTTGCGCGCGCATACATGCAACATACCACACGTGCTTTCTAAAACCAAGAAGAATGCTAAGTATCTTTTTCAATCCTGGGAAAATTTGATCAGTGATGGCAGGCACGTTTGCTACTTCGACTGAACAAGATCACGAACCTGTTTTTTTTTTTGGTTAAGAGGTAAGGAAAATGTGATAAGTTCAGTTATATATTGTAAAAAAACATTCGAATATTTCAATGTTTGTACGGAAAAAGGTACCAGTTAACGAAGAGGAGAAAGATGAGTAGCAAGGCTCGCACAAGGTGTTCAGAAAGCTGGCCATAAGAAACCGAATTTTTCCACAATTGGAGATAAACATGTAAATTATTGAAGTAAATCATTCTATAATTGTACATGTCCGTGATGTATTAGCCCCGCGGATTGACTAGTTAGTTTCAAGAAATAAACTCGAAGCGTGATGCCCACGAGCAGTCGCGAGAGGCGCGGAGAACTGGAGAACTTTTTCGTTCGCATCGTGGCTCGATCCAAGTAGCTCTTGGGTCTTTAAAATTAAATGAAAAATGAAGGAAAAAAGTAACTAAATAAATGTACATCCCTTGAAAACTGAGACTTAAAAAATCCCTTTAAGTTAAGCTAACTATATATAAATGTCTTTTTTTCCCGGGGGGTACACCTTGGAATTCTTGGTGGGGGTGTGCCGCTGGGTTCTCCAAATCCTGACCTATTTCAGACTTAAAAATATACTCCACAAATTAACTTACCTCTCGGCCAAATAATACTACATCAGCGTGGCTTTTCTTGTCCATTCTCTTCGACATCGCCGGCGGCACGGAACTTTAATACCGCAAATGAATTGCAAACTGAAATGGCAAAACTGCAGATCTTTTCTTCCCAGTGACATTCGAGCGAACTAAATAACTGCCCACTCTGTCCATCTTCTCTCCAACAATCCAGACATGTCACAACTGATATTTATATAAATATATTTTTTAATTGTCTTATTTATTTATCAATCATATATATTTATCTTATCTAAAAGGGCATGAAATAATATTTGATGAAAGAAACCTGTCAAGGCAATACAAAAATCGATCTTATAGAGTCCAAAATTTCATGGGGTTAACTTATAATTTTGGTTAAAAAAATATAAAAGTTTTTCATAGTTCGTTTATGGGCTCAAGAACTGAGTTTTCGGGGCGATTTCTGCGCTGATCGTTTAAGTGGAGAGTTGCACTATTTCGAATATATTTATTATCAGAATAGCCTAAGGATTGAAACATTTGTTTAGTACAAAGGTCTTGTTACATCAGTGTACAGCTTCCAAAGCAAAAACATTTCAACGCTTTCACATTAATTTTTCAAACAGGTTGGCAGGGTCTAATTAAGAATACTTCTGAATAAGAATTATTCCTTCGTAGTAGTCAATTTTATTTCTCTCTATAGGTTGTACAGTCAAGTTAAAGAAACAGACGATTCATTAATCAAGAAATAACTAAAGAGAGAAAGGGAAAAAATAGTAAAACTAATACATTGCCCTAGTAGATGCAAAAATATTAAAGATTCCTAATTAAGTGGATACAACGAAGTAAAATAAATAAATGAATTATTTAATTACATTAAATAAAAATCAAAACCTACTCACCTATTACTGTCTCATTGATTTTGATTGGTTCTCATGGAATATGTAGTTTAATTATTTCGCGGGCTAGCAACATTTATTTCTTGATTTTCATTGGTTGTTTTCTTAACATCCGATTTGGTGTGGGGATCTGCCCGATTACGTTCTTCTTGTAATTGGACAGGTCAAATGGCACAGTTAGCAAGTTCCAATAGCGAATTAAAGCAATTTATACTACTGCATGAGAAATATCTGCAATTTGATAGGCTTAGAGCAGTGCTATTTCACCTTAATTTGAAATACCTACATGTGAAAATTACAAACCTTTTGCGGGGAGTAGTATAAACAAATAGCGTGATTACGAATCATGCTATTACCTATACAAATACATTTTTAACAATAATTATTTAATGAGGCTGAGTGTGATCTGAAGAATGATGCAGATGTCGGAGGGTGGTATCTCGGGATCTCCATAATTCTTCAGATTAAACGAAGGCCGAATCCAATAATTGTTTTATTATTCATTCAAAATAATTCGTAGTTTAATAACAAGCCAAAACATGCTTACCTCCATCGATGTTCGAATTTCCCGTCTTTATTCGCCTGTTTCTCGGCAAGTTCAGGTGATAAAGGGATGTTTACTTCTGATATTCTTCAAAGAGCAGATGCCGTCTGTAGAGGTGTTATCTTCCTGTTATTGCTATGATTTAAGGCAACAGTTCGGCTATTTCTCCTTCGCGAAAGGTGTAAAATTTTCCGCCATTCTGTACTGCTCTACCAAATCAACGCAACCTTGTCCATGGGCGTGTCGGTTTGCAGTCCATTTTTCTGGCATTTATGTTGTACCATTGACGTCATTTTCCACATATCGCAAACGTTTTCCAAATTTGTGCAACGTTAGCTGGTTATGAAGAATTATCCATAGGAGTTGAGCCAATCAGAAACGGAATGTTGTACCATTGACGTCGTTTTCCACTCATCGCAAACGTCTTCCAAATTTGTCCAACGCTAACTGGTTACGAAAAATTATCCGTTGGATTTGAGCCAATCAGAAACGGATAAATATTTTGAATGAATAAAAATGAAAGTTAAGAAACCATCAGATGTTAGGAATTTGATTTTGGCACATTTAACACTATAAACGAACAAGGAGGACATTTTTTATATGGAATCAAAATCATGTAAGTTTTATTGATTTATTAACCTGCAAATTACATAAGCAAAGGTTTCCTTTTGCAAAAAAATTTTGTCTGTTAAAGCAGTAGTCTGGCTTTAGATTAGGTAACACCAGCTCTAAATAGTGACGAAATGTCGTCTAGTTGCGCGTTTCGACTAACCGAATTAATCTTTGGGAGACAGAGAAAGAAAAATGTCCTAATGTTGGTAGATGAAAAGCGCATTTATTTTAGTTATTCTTCAAGGTAAAATTCGTTAAATATTATGAAATTCCCGCGAGTGAAAACTCCTAAACATTATTTACAGCTTCTTCAGAACAATGGTATAACGTTTACGCATACCAAAAGCAAACATTCTGCAATGGTAATTGAACAAATACAGTTTCTTCCAATATTTAAGCCATTTTCATCATTTTCGTTTGTCTGTTTTTGTAAGGATTGTGCAATGTGATCTCTTATCCTTTCACGTGCTCCAAGGAACCTTAATCGTGACATGTTGCTTTGAAAGCTCTTAAAATAAATGTAGAGGAACTGTCCTAAACTACCGATCACCATTCATAGTCGAAGCATGAGTCGGCGATCTTAATAAGTCAGCGTACTCTTGAAGCGCCTCCCGCAAGGCTCGTCGGACTTGCGTCGAGTTACAAACAGAGCATTCCACAAGACGAGGATACAGTTCAATAACTTGATCCCAGATCCTACCGTCCACTGCAACAAAAATTTGCGTCATGTTACAGAGAAAGTTACTTTTAGTGTTCCACTCGCTTGGCTTAGGTCAAAAGAAGCGAAGAACCTTGACGTATACGGCTAGATATGATTGATTGAATGAATCAATGATGGATTGGTTAGTTGGTCGATTGATTGATTGATTGATTGATTGATTGATCGATCGATCGATTGACTGATTGATTGATTGATTAATTGATTGATTGATAAGATGAGATGAAAAGGTTATCAGGGATTGCAGAACATTTAGAGAGCCCTGATTTCGGAAAGCAGAGAAAACTTTTTTCTAACTTAAACGAAAAACAATAATACTTTTGCTTTCCACGCTTGAAATCCGCTACTTTTCCCCCGCAAGTTCCCCACAATTCCGAAAAGTCTTAGTCACTAAGGATTAAGACAAGAGAAACTAAGGCCGACCACGCCGGAATGGAAAGCGCTATCACTTAAGAAAAAAATCATAACCAAAGAACTTTTTTAGAAAAAAAAATGCTTAGTCGAAACTAGGTAAAGCCTATTACAGAAGAGGGTAATATCTCGAAACATACTAGCAAGAGTTAATGAAGGCTTCACATACGTATTGAACAGGAAAGGTCAAGATGCCAACAGCAAGATCTTCAAATTTCAAGACACTGCGGGCGAGATCTTAAAACTTCACGATTTTGTCCGCGACAGCAAGAGAACCTGGCGGCAAGATCTTGAAAATTAGAGATCTTGCTGAGAAGATGTTGCAAATGCAAGGCCATGCTGGCAAAATGTTCAGATTTCATGATCTAACCGGGAAAATGTTGAAAAGTCGAAATCATGGTGGCAAGATCATAGAGTTCACCGGTGTTAACTCAGGTTCTGGTAACTCGGAAATTGTAACCTGCTTCTGGCATTAAAGGTGCTTTAAAATGGGCAACAAAAACGTGCAACTTGGTTTGCAACATTGCTGAGAAACGAGTTGAAAATGAAAAGATATGTTGCGCGTTTCACCTTCCACGTTCAAACCGGTCATGCAACAAACAAGGTTGTTGCAAATTGAATGCTGACTTCCGATTGGTTGAAATAAGGCGGGAGTCACACCACACACGTGACTTACGTCACTCGCTGTAAATCGAGTTTAGCTTGGGCCGGTAAAACGGGCAATACGGTCAGCTCACTCATAGCGACCACTTCGACCACGTATCACCTTTAACCCTTTGAACCCTAAGATCAAAATTTGAATTCTCATTTGTTGCCCCTATTCATTTCCTGCAGAAGTAGTCGGGAGAAGTTGATAAAATATCATGCAAATTCATCTTGTGTGATCATGACCGTAATTCTCATGACCACCCTGTTTTACAAAGCATTGAAATTACAAGGAGAAATTTGATGCTGATCACTCTTAGGGCTTAAAGGGTTAAACGTGGTAAGTTACTATATTTTAAGGCCCTCTTTTTAGCAGTGTCAATGGATATTCGCTTACTGCTATTTATCGAAAACTGAAAGAAACCGGGGAAGTCTTTAGAGCGTTTTCACATGACGTCACGGCGGCCATATTAGTGTCCCAAAACAATGAAACGGCGTCCATATTGGTGTCCAAAACCAGACCTCTGGGAGTTGAACTCTTTTCTTATGCAAAGGCTTTTTTTTGTTCCAATAAATTGGCATAGATCTGACCACGTGAGTGAAAACGCTCTATAGAAAAGAAGAGATAGCTGGCCAATAACATACCGACAGTTGGATTTTCCTTTACAGCTCTTTTCATTGAAGACACCAACGTGCTGATGGCCTTCATTACAAACGACATCTCTGCCATACGAGTTCTAAGAATGTTAAAAAAAATAAATAACATTAGCAATAAAGAATTTAAAGACTTACCAACTGTCTAAACAACTGGTGTACTTTCCGGGGGAGGTATTCTGTGAAGTTTTTAGAGGGGGTGTACCGGTGGGACCCAAATATCCATACTCTATGCAACACAGTTTTTCACATCGCTGGTCAATTTTCCATAAGTGATAACTCATTTTAGAGAAACATAATCTGCTTAGTAAGCCCCACCCTTCACAGCGGCAAAGTGCCCCCCACCCCCACCACCCGCCCCACCAACAACTATAGCCATCTTGGTCTCACGGTGATTCGGAATCCGTTTTAAGAAGGATGTGTCTGGACAACGAACTAAATCACTAGATAATTTAAATGAATCCTTCATTTCATACTCAGTTATAGATATCTTTCTTAGTTTTAAGCGTGGATGATCTCTTAGAGTGTGAAGATTAAAATGAAAGCTGCTGAGCGTGTGACCATTCACGTGAAAGCTACTGAGCAGTACTTTATTGTGATACTGTTTACTGTGCAGTACAAGGTGGTTCTAAAACCTGGTCAGCACAGTATTTCACAAGGTGGTTCTCGTTTTCTAGTATGTTACAAAAACAAATTTTGAGTTTTTTTGGAGTTTATGGTATTGTATTCGTAAGCCGAGAAGAATGGAAGCTATATCAATGGCTCAACAACAACCAAACCCCTGAAAGAAATGAACAAAGTTACCTTGGAAGAGGACACTTTCCACTAAGTTTTTCATCTTCAACGTACTTCACTAACACATCACTGCATCGACTGAGGAGAACGTCAAGAGCTAACTCAGCCACTTTGCCGTCTGACTGGTCTGCTTGACGATCCACTTCCGGTGTTCCATTCACAAATGAGAACTGAAGAAGAGTTTCGAAGCACGACTTGGCGAATTCTTCGCGGAGAGGAAATCCGTTTGCATCAGTTCCTGTTTGAAGACGGTGAAATATTCGGCTTTAGTAAAATCATGGAAAATCAGCAATATCAGCCTCGAGTTGACTATCTGTCAATCACTTTATAATAATATAGGTTAGGTTTCATGCGTATTGTAGTCAGTCTAGGAGAGAAGATCATGCAATCTGAAAACAAGTTGTAAGGCCGAAATCTGTTGGAAAATTAAACGTTGAATACGTCGGAATACTCCAGTAGACTTCTATTTGTCTCGTCTCCGACACCCGCCTCGGGATCATTATACGTTTCTGGGAAACTGCCTACCTACCCCTCCCCGAAGCCAACATTTTGCCCTAAGTAAGAAGCAAGTGTTAATGTTGGCTTAGGGGAGGGGTAGGTGCTGTCGATCCACATAATGCTCCTGTAGAGCGACAAAATTCCTTAGAGAGCAGTAACCACCCCCAAGCTTAGCATTAAATCTTGAAAAAGTTCAATCCATGTCCATCCTTGCTGTCTGTAGCAACAGACGACAAGAATCAAATCAATACATTTATTTCACTACGCTAACCACACACAACAAAAGCTGATTTCCTGGTAGGGCGCAGGCAAACACGCATTGCAAACAAATAGAAGCAGTATGGTGTCAATGCCCAAGCAGTTTTAATAACTAAATAAAGTCGTAGGTAGCAAAACAGTACCATTGTTTCCGGAATTTAACCGATACGAAGACACTTTTTAGCTTTTAACCCCTTAGGTCCCAAGAGTGACCAACATCAATTTTCTCCTGACAACATCAGCAGATC